ACAAATACGAAAAGAGGAAAATGCAGAATGATTAGTGGAGGAGATGATGAGCCGTGTTTTGAGAAGGCTTCTCAGGGAAGATGACACCTGTCACCTTTCTTATCTGTGAATCTTTTCTTTTCCTCATTCCTGACAGCCAATCTGTAGACAAGTCTTATCTGTACGCTGCAAAACATGTCTCACAGCCAACTACTTTACCACCTCCATTGCTGCCACGATCCTCTTACTTGGATTTCTGCAATCATCTCCTAAATGTTTATATTGCTATTTTTCTCTTTTTAAAATTGAAGTAAAATTTACGTACAATGATACGCACAGATTTTAAGTGACTTTTGACTAACCTATCTGCCCATGTAACCAACACCTTGATCTCCTTATGTCCATTCAATTCAGTCAAATTCCACCCCTCATGGGCAACCACCATTCCAATTTCTAACACTACAGATTTATTGTGTCTGTTACTAAATTTCACATAAATAGAATCATACAGTATGTATCTTTGCACATCTGACTTTTTTACTCATTATAGTGTTTCTGAGATCCATCCAAGTTATTATATGCATTATTAGTCATGTTTTTGTCAATTTCTGATTAGAATTCCATTTTATGAATATATTGTAATATGTTTATCCATTCTCCTGTTGATAGACATTTGGATTGTTTCCTACTTTTTGCTATGAGTAAAGCTATTACAAACTTTCAAGTACAAGTGTTTTGGGGCAATTAGATAAATCCCTCAGAGTGAAATTCACTGATTATATGTTAAATGTAGCATACAATAAAATGCTAAACTGTATTCTGAAATGCTTATACCATTTTACACTCTCACCATCATCAATATTTGAGCATTCAGGTTGCTCCACTATCTTGACAACGTGGTATTGCCAGTATTTTAAATGTAGCTATTTTAGAGGGTGTGAAGTGGTGTCTTATTGAAGGTTTAATTTGCATTTATCTGACATGTTACATTTCAAAAAACGTTTTATTTGGAATACTTTGTACTATTTATTTGTATTTTCTCACATTAGAGTGTGAGCAGTAGAAGGCTGGAAGCCTTATCTTGTTTACTTCTCTATTCACTTTACCTGGAATTGTGACTGCCATTCAGTATTGGCCAATTTGTTGGAAGAAAAGAAAGAAGGAAGAAAAAGAAAAAAAGAATGGAAAAATGAAAGATGGAGAGAGGAGGGAAGAAAAGAAGGAAGAAAGGACAGAAGAAGGAAAGAAGGAAGAAAGAAAGGAAAAGAGAAAGCAAGAAAATTAATTGGCATTGCTATTTATGGCCTCTGTGAAAATGTTTGTGTTTGGCAGTATCTTGAAACATCAGTTGTATTCATCTGGTGTTTGAGTGCCACAAATTAGTTTGCTTAAAATAGCAATAAAAAATATCTGGCAATGGCTGGGCACCGTGGCTTAAGTCTATGTGATCACATTGGGAGGCTGAGGCTGGAGGATCCCTTGAGCCCAGGAGCTCAAGACTAGCATGGGCCACATGGCAAAACCCCATCTCTACAAAAAATACAAAAATTAGCTGGGCATGGTGGTGCATACCTGTAGTTCCAGCTACTAGGGAGGCTGAGGTGGGAGAATCACTTGAGCTCAGGAGGGGGAGGTTGCAGTGAGCTGAGATGGTGCACTACACTCCAGCTTGGGTACAGAGCAAGCCCTGTCTTAAAAAAAAAAAAATATATATATATATATATATATATATATGGCAAAAAGAAGGTAAAGGAAAATGCCAAATACATATAAGCCTTTAAAATTTACAAAACATTTTAAACTACAAAATGACAATTTATGTCAACTGATCTGTGACAAAGGTGCCAAGGTCACATGATGGAGAAAGCAATTTCAATTAAGTGGTGCCAGGAAAATGGAATATCCACGTGCAGAAAAATGAAATTGGGCCTTATCTCACTCCATATACAAAAATCAGCTTAAAAATGGGTTAAAGACTTAAACACAAGACCTGTAAACTATAAAACATGACTGGAAGAAAACACAGGGGAAATGCTTCTTGATATTGGTCTTGGCAAAATATTTTTTAAAATACGACCTGAAAAGTGCAGACAACAAAAGCAAAAATAGGCAAGTAAGATAACATCAAACTTAAAAGGTTGCTGGAAACAATCAACAGTGAAGAGACAACCTACAAAATGGGATAAGATATTTGCAAATCATACATCTGATTTGGGGTTAAGATCCAAAATATATATGGAACTTAAGGAACTTAAGATTAAAAAAAATTAAGAAATGGTCAAAGAACCTTCTCAGACATTTCTCAAAAGAAGACACAAATGGCTAGCAGGTAATGAAAAAAAATGCTTAACATCACTAATCAAAAGAGAAACACAAGTTAAAACCACAATGAAATATTAGCTCACACCTGTAAGAATGGCTTTTGTGGCTTTTGTAAAAGCTTGAAATACAATTTCCTTCTTTTCTCTCCAATTTTCTTTAAAATCTCTTTACTCTCTAAGAGTCACCATTTTTGAATGTTTATAGCTAGAAATAATCTACCAGTAGCACCTTTTCGCTTTACTTTATGGTTCCTATCACTCTTTAAAATGATTTAAATATTTGATTAAGTGATAAAATGTTTCATATTACTCGGATCTACTCTAATTTTGTAATTGGTTGGGCTGTACATTATTAGAGTATTTAGATAAACCGTGACTTAACAAATCTGAGTGATACCTAAGCTAGTCCCCGTTTTAAAATGATCATGTTTTAATATAATTATATATCATCATGTTTTTACATAATTTGTATTTGTTTTTAATTTGTATGTGTTTCAGGGTCAGGAAAGTTAAGACTTTTTCATATGCTGACTAGTTATTTGTTTCTTTTCTTACAAAGTTCTTTTGTTCATCGATGTTTCTTGTTGTTTGTTTTTTGTGAGTTTGTTCTCTGTTTTAAAAACTAATTTGTAAAGCTTTTTCCCTACATTTAGGTAATTAGCTGTGGGTCCTGTGTTTCTTGTTTGTTAAATGCTTTTTCCTTTTGTAATGTTTTAAGCTTTGCTCAAAGAGTGTTTTTTATTTTTTAAGTGTTGTCTAAATTATCAAATTTATGGTTTCTGAATTTTGTGTCTGCTTAGAAAGACCATCTCCACCCTAAGTTATAAATAAATTCAGTCACGTTTTCATCCAGTTCTTTAATGGCTTCATTGTTTACTTTAAATCTTTGATCCATCTGGAGTTTATTTTTATCTAAGTGTAGTGATTTGGAGATGTGGCTTTACTTTTTCCAAATGACTATACAGTTATCACAGATTTATTGAAAATTTTATCTTTATCCACACTGGTTTGAGATGCTCTCTTTATGGAAATTTCCATATGTAGTTGGGTGTGTTTCTGGACTTTCTTTTCCATTGATGCTTTTGTGTATTCCTGGCCTGTTATTGAAGTGATATGAACTGCAGCTTTACCATATGTTTTATTATCTGGTACAACTCCTTATTCTTCCTCTTTATAATCCAGCTAGTTTTATGTTTACTTTTCAGGCTACTGTAGTAACAGTTTTATTTTGTAGATTTTAGAGTGTTCTTTTTTTTTTTTTCAAAAGAAATGATGATTTAACATTGAGCTCTTATTTCTAAGAACAAGATGAATTGCAATTTATTGAAGGCATATAGTATGTCTTTCCATAGATTGTGAAAAATTTTCACCTTGTAATGTCCTACACATTCTGTATAAAGTTTGTGTTTGCAAAGATCTTTCTGTTTGGGACTATGATTAAGATCTTTTCTTCCATTATATTTTTAAATTGGTTATTATTTATATATGAGAGTTTACATTTATTAACAATATAAATATCATAATGTCTTCATTTGTAACAAATTTCTAGTTCATTCTCTTTTTTCATACATGCAATTATATTATCTGTAAACAACACTTTGCCTTTTTTATTTTATTTTATTTTTTTTGAGATGGAGTCTCGCTCTGTCGCCTAGGCTGGAGTGCAGTGGCGTGATCTGGGCTCACCACAAGCTCCGCCTCCCGGATTCACACCATTCTCCCACCTCAGCCTCCCGAGTAGCTGGGACTACAGGTGCCCACCACCAGACCAGCTAATTTTTTTGGTATTTTTAGTAGAGACAGGGTTTCACCATGTTAGCCAGGATGGTCTCGATCTCCTGGCCTTGTGATCCGCCCATCTTGGCCACTTTGCCTTTTATTTTTAAATATTTATCATCTGCTTCAGATTAGTATAATTGTTGGTAGTACTGCTCATCTGGGTCCAAATCAGACATTGCCAAGTTAGTGAAATGTTGTGACCCTCAGTTTCCTCATCTGTAAAATGCTGAGAAGGGCAGTGCTTACCTAAAAGGGACAATATAATGATCCAGTTAGTAATGTGTATAAAGCAATTAGCAAAATGCCTAGAACATAATAAGCATTTACAAATGTTAATCATTGTTTTATTTTTTCTCAAAGTTAATTGCAGAGTCTAGTCTTTTATTATCATCATTAAATAATATTAATAGCAATTTTAAATGACTTTCAGTGTTGATATGTGGAATGGCCTAATGGTCTCTGTGCAGAGTACTGATTATAGTATAGTGAACATATAGTCTAGATTTTCCAGAGCTACCATAGCATGCAATTTTATTATTTTAAATAAAAACAATAAATTATTATAAATCTAAATGACACTTAATTTTATGTTTCTGTGAGATATAAATATAAGTGAATTCACAAATTGGAAAAAGAATGGTGATAGTAGGAAGCTTTGATTAATATTTCATTCTTTTATGGAAATATTTATTACTTTTTATTTATATCATAAGTATTTACGCTTTATCTTTCCTGATTTTAAAAAAGTAGACATCATATTCAGTTGACTGATCTGCAACGTCAGTTGGGAAAATTGACAGAACCTTATATGGTGTGTTGCCCGAAATAGACATTCAATAAATATCCTTTGAGTAAAGGTACAAATAAATAAACCCAACGATTAGGAAATAAATGGACTCAGAGAGTATATATTTTTTCCAGATTCCACAGGATGCGAGCATATGCAGTGGAAACATTGTGTTATTCCATCCTCAGAAGAAAAGAGACAGTATTATACTTCATCTCTTACTAGTACATGTAACATTCTTTATTAAGAAAAATGTATTTAATCAGGAGTCACTGTGTGCAAAAACATTAATGTAGAGGCTTAAAATGTTAAACACTCTTTCATCAAGGAAGGTTTTATTTTTTTTTTTCTCCTTATTGCACATGTGCTAAATCTTACTCTAATCAGCTAGTTTTTTTCTTTCACTCATGGTGGAAATTGCAGATAACTTGTTTTTACTGTAAAACCTGATTTATATGCTTCAGCTAAATGCAGAGATTTCATTTATGAATGCTAGTCAGTGATTTATTTCATTGTTTTCTTTTTTGGACAAGTCACTGCAAAATATTTTTTTTCCAAGCAGGATGGCATTAACCTTTTCTGATTGCAAAGCCACTCTCCTGGCAATATCAATAATACTTTGTCATTTCTGTCAGTTACTTTACCACATTTGATAAACAAATAAATACAGCCCTAACTATCAAAAAACCAAAATGACCAGTTTGAGAATCAGTCCTTTGATAATCATCTACAACAGATTTTGAAGCCTCTGTCATATTTCATAGAATTGGCCTTTTTCCAGTTGCTGCTGATATTGGGATTTGAGTTAATTGCCGATGCATCTCAAACAACAGAGCAGGTGCTAGTAGAAAGAACATTCCTTGTGTTTTCTTTGTTATTTATAGTCAGAGCTCTTCACCACTAAACCCTTGAGCTGGCTTTTTAGAGCCCACTGTATAACAATTTCATTCACTTTCATGTCAACAAGCTTTGGCTTGATAAATTAAAATGGAAAAATGCTGGCTAAAGCACCACAGCCCTACATGATTCATTTTGCTGCAAGTTTCTGGCAGCTGCCCAAGAATGACCTACTATCTTTCTAGTGTCCTTATCATTTTCCCATCTGGAAAGGGCTAAACCTTACTGTACACTGGGGAGTTAAGGGCCTGTGCAGGCTGCATTTGAAGGCCATTAACAATCATAACTCTAAAAATCATCACCCTCTTCCAGGCAAGGTTAAGAGTAGTCTATAGGATACTTAGGAAGGTCACTATTTTACTTTTCTTTAAATAAATACAAAAAAGGGCACAATTTCTTTAATTACCTAGGACTGCATGCTAACTCGATCCATTATATTTTTAAACATTTTGATCAGTCTTACAATTAAACAAAGGTCATTTAGAGGAGCCCATCCTAAATTATGTAACTTCTGATACTAGCTGTGAATTTACTATTAAACAAAATTATTTATTCATTCACTTAATCTTCCTTTATACAAATGGATTTTCTTGAAGGAGTCATAGGTAGGATGGCTGTTCTAGTGATTATTTTAACAATTAACTATCACGTTGCAAAAGTTATTAGGGAAAAATACCTTATTTTTGAAAACAGAGGCTAAATGATGAAAGAATCATTATAAACTCTAGTTACAAGCTTGTCCAAGCCATGACCCACAGACTGCATCTGCATGCAGCCCAGAATGGCTTCAAATGCAGCCCAACACAAATTCGTAAACTATCTTAAAACATTATGTGATATTTTATTTGTGCCTTTTTTTTTTTTTTTTTTTTTTTTTTGCTCATCAGCTATCATTAGTGTTAGTATATTGTATGTGTGGCCCAAGGCAATTCTTCTTCCTTCCACACTCTTGCTAATTATGGCAAGGTTTTATTATTTATAAGTAGGCTTTCTTAACTAGCACTATTTGTAGATTATAAGTAAATTAAATTTAAAACCTGATACTAACTGAGCATTTATCACCCAAGAAATTGTCGAAGCATAAATATAAGGCTGTGAATTCTAAACAATTATAACTTTTAGGAAATGAAAGCGCCCTTGTTACTGGATATTTAAACTAACAATTTAAGGCTTTCAGCAGTGAACTTATAATGCACATTGGTAATTGTTAGTCTTGTCTCTAAAGTGGAAAAAGATGTAGAGATGGCCAGGATCTCTGACCAGCCATCATTGGTGGGGTAATGAGGAAGATCTAAACACAGAGGGCAAAGCCAAGCAAAATGCTCACTCTTTAATAAGGAGAAACATAGAATCAAATTATCTCTCTGCCTTCCACCCCAAACTGGACATTTGTTTAGGAAATGTAACCACTTGCAGGGGCTGCTGGGTGGTTAGAAAAGTCCAGAAACTTGAACCTTGAATCCCGTCTGGCAGTTGAAACACTGGAAGGCTGCAGAGAAAAGGAAGGGAAGAAAATGCAGTTTCAAAATTAGTGTTGCTGGTTATTGAATTCTGCCTAGAAAGATGCTTATTTGGGGGTGGGGTGGAGGAGGTGGCAAAAACTTCCAATGGGATTTTGTTTTTATAAAGGTAAACCCAAGATCTAATCCTGGAATGGAAACTGAGGGTTAAATGTCTGTGAATAATAATGAAAGAGGTAAACTTCACGGTGAATAGAATTGAGCCAGGAGGCTAATTCTATACCTGTGTGGCAGATCTGAGAATGGCCTATCAGCACCTCTGTGAGACTTGAGACTCAGGGTGGGGGCAGTAACTCCAGGCTAAGAAGAATATAGTCAAAGACTCTCCCACTGCAAGGGAATTTTCAACTTTTCATTCAGTCATTTGACTAATATTCATTCATTGGGCACCTACCTTATGCTGACATTGTCTAATTGGGCAATGGTCATAAAGAATCCTTGGGATTGGGTATGGCCCTGAGACTAAGAGCAGGAATGCTTACCTAATTTATTTCTGTTTGTTTCTTTTCCTTTTCTTTTTTTCATGTCCCTTCTGTACTCTTAAGCTGTTATTAAAGTTTTATTAAACCCCACAGCCTTGTTGTAGATTGTGGTTAAGAATTTAAGAGAGGAATGTTTTTCAGCTTAAAAGCAAAGTGACATGACCATATAAAATTGCCGATATTAAGAGAAAAAAGAGAATCATTTTATGTGATAGCAATAGACGGCCAGAAAGAATGGTGCAAGACACCAGCTTGCTAGTGACCAACAACCACAGAATAAAATTGTGGCCCATATTAACCGTCCTCAAAAGAGTCTCAGAAGTGCTGCTAAGGAGTGCTGAAATGGCTACTACTGCCCTCAGATTCAAGCAAGTAGGGTCTCTTTAATGCCTGGGACTGGTTAGGCCAACCATTCCTTTGGGACAAGGTGACCTAAATCTGCACCAGGGACGCATGAGCTCTGGTCCATGTTTTTTTCTTTCAGAGTATTCTCCCACCATTATACCCCACCCCACCTTTAACAAGGGTTGATCAGATGCTTCTAAGGAGCATCATGACCCTCATCTATGGGACATCCCAGGGGCCTGTGTCCAGGACCCAGTTTCCGGATGGTGGAGCTATGCAGAGTGCTTTGTTTACTGGCCAGCCTGCTTTTTCCATTGCAGGATCATGCAGAGTTGGGCCTAGAGAATGGTGCTGACAAGCTGACACATCCTCATTCACATGAGGCACAGAACGATTTCAGCATTCTGTCTTACCTACCATCTACCGTTGACTTTTACATTTAAAATGCATATGAAGGCCGTGTGTTGGCTCTTTGAGTTTTCACCACAGCATTACCTCAAGTCCACAGCACACAAAGGTGGTGAAGGGCTGCCATGGTGTTATTTACTCTGTGTGCACCCCCACCAGTGGTACCTAGGATTGTCAGTCCACCCCCTCACCAGGCAGTCTTGGGGGAGCACACTTATCTCTGCAGAGGACAGGCAAGTGCTATGCAAAGCCAATGGGCCCTTCAATTGATAATCTCTTTTGCTTCTTATTGATGCGGTGATGTTTTACTCACCCTGCCCTGTCTTAGGTGTACCACATGAGGAACAGACATTTCTGGTGAGAATGAGACTGTTCTGTCTACCCTACCTAAGGACTTTTTGCCTATTGTCCCTGCTGGTTGTGGCATATGGAAGTCGAGGGAGCAGTCAACATTGAAACCAATCAAATTATAGGAAGGCTATGATTATGGCCTACTCAGTTGGGAGATGTGTAGTTCTATGTTTTTACAATGTAAATTTTTGTATGGTAAATTTAACATGCCCAGAAAACAAAATGTGGTTCACATTTTTTTCTGCATACCCTGGATATTCTTTTGCTGTGGTCATCATCAACAAAGCTCAGTAACAATTGTTGAAAGGGTCATTGGAAGCCATTATCCACAGACAGCAGGATGGATAATGCAATGGTATGACTAATGATGGAACCAGCAGTAAATGAATGATATTAGATAATTACAGAGGCAATAAGGTCTATATTGTTTCAATACAAACAGTTTCTGAAGAGCATGGCATTATTGGTAATGTTGTTGCTACCTCTTTTCTCCCAGTGGGAGATATGAAATTAGACAGGGATGGCACACTTGACAATAAAGGGACACAAGAGATGGTTCTTGTGTCCTACCTCATCTTGGACAGCTATTATGGCTGAGGATTCTTTTGGTTTGAGCAAGTGGACCTAAAATCTTTGAATTCAAGTCAGTCTCATGTGCACCTTTTCCTCAGGTCCAATTCTTGACCATGATGCTTGAGGCTATCCAGTGGTCAGAATAAATGAAGAAGGAGGAAAAGAAAGAAGAAGGAAGAAGAAGGGAAAAAATTAAAAGAAGGAGGAAGAACAGATAAAGAAGGATATACCAAGGGGGAAAAAATGGTTCTTCCTAAGACAAAGGTCAAACATTTGAGAACCTCTAGGGGCCTCTGCAGGCTGCATCAATGAGTATGCAGCAGACGGGCTGAGATAATAAGGAGTGGTAGGAATTCTGGCTTATTTCACAAACAGTTATTACTGTGAAAGATGCTGGGCCCAATTTTGCTAAATCTTTCAAATATTCAAGAGAAGCTAAAATAAAATCGTTAGGTGAAATACTACTAGTTTTAAATACTGGTAACTAATTAAGATGCTAAAAGTTCTGTGCGAACTTTAGGAGGTGTCTGGCTTACCTACAATCAGTTTGCCAGCTCAGCCCCAAGACCTGGAGAACCATACAGGTTGGCAAGCCAATGACACCCAAGCCTTCCAAGAACAGGGAAATCCCTGTCAAGCAGGAGATACAGCAAC